CCAGCTTCTGTCTTTCCCGATCCTCTTTCTCCACTGAGAGCAAACAGAGAGAGAGAATGTAAGTTTGCTGGTCTGTGGGAGGCAGTAAGCATATTGTTCCCCCTGGAGAGCATTCCCAGCCCCAAGGCGATGAAGTGACAGCATGCAGGTGTCAGTGGGCTCAGGGTCCGACGGAACTCTTCACTGGGTGTGTTCATCTGTGCTGTGTAGTAAACATGCTCTGTGCCGGGCTCCATAGCATTGCAGGGGTTGGGACTGCAGTGAGTGTGACACAACCTGTCATCTGATACCTTACCAGGGAGGATCCCGGGACAGAGGTGAACTGTGGTAGAAAGGCTTTAGGCTGAAACAGCTTCGCAGGTAAAGGTAAGTAGGGGGACCTCACAGGTCTGCGTTCTACAGTGGGAGGTCACACACCATACAGCCACATGCACCTGGCCTTGGGTAAGCTGCCATGTCTTTCGGAGCCTGGCACGAAAACTAAGGCCGTGAAGTGTTCAGACGTGATGAGGTGGGTAACATGGCCAGCACCTGGCAGACCCTCCAATGGATCTTCCTCAGTTCCTTTGTGAGGTTTCGTCTGGTTCTCACGTTCTATGTTTTGCATTTTTCTTTAATCTAGGAACAATCACTAGCTGAACTTGTTACTGATAATGACATGACTTTTGATACATCCTAGGCATAACTTCATTTACTGCCCTTTTAATTACGGGGGCCTAAAACTGTCAAAAAGATGAGATATTAAAGTAAAATATGGAAATAAAATTTTTCTGGTCTGGGACTAAGTTAAAAGATACACATTCCAGGAATACTTGAGCTTTTGATTGCCATATTTCCCATTACCCTCTGTTAGGTCTGAGACATACTAGACAGTAATGACCTGTAATGTAGGTCATTTAGTCCATTGTAGTCAACCAATGTGTTTAGTTGACTTCTCCATGACCAATTTTGATATATTAATACAAATGGAGTGTGGGTCCCCAGGCTAGCTCAGTTGGTATAATGTGAGACGCTTCATATGAATGGATAAAACCTTTATACTGATGGTCTCAAGATAATCACAGAGGTGCAAAGCCATGGGAAAGCATGGAATCCTGACAAGGGAGAGAGTGACTGAGATAACATGTCCTGTGATCCCAGATCTGCTCCTCAACTCTGTACCTCAGGACTAAATGATACACTCTTGAAACCTGAATGAAGAAATCATTTTTTTTTTTTCAAATACAGCAGTTGATACATGGCATTATTAACCCTAAAAATACCCCCAAACAACACTAGTACTCTAGAACATTAACAAGTTCTATGGGGGAAAAAGAAAATTCACAATCAAATGCATGTTGAAATTGTTGGATTCAGGGGAGATTAAGCAGGGTTTTTTTTTTTACCGAAAATACTTGCTGGCCACTGGGAACGCCAGCACAGGCAAATTCCAAGGATACCTTTGCCAAGTAAGGACCAAGGCATTTCACAAGTCAGGAGCGGCAGTTTGAATAGTCTGCTTAAAATGAAGTGGAATCAATCAGGATTTATGTAACTTCTCAGGAATGGACAAGGTAATACATAGAAATAGCCTCGTTGAGGGTCTAGCTCATAGTTCTTAAAAAATATTACCATAGTCCCCACCATCTTACCAACTTACAGTGCTTTCTGAGCAATTTTTAAAAGTTGTTTCTCTTTTTAACAAGGTAAGACAAGAAAACTCAGAGCAGGTAAAAATAGAGCTCGATTCAGGAACAGTGGGAGCCCCTGCCTTGGGGCCTCTCTCATCCCTGGGACCCTCAGAAGGCAGCGAAGAAACTACCGCTCCTGCTCTGCTCTGAAAACCAGCACGTCAGGCTGCTCTGCGGGGGCGGCTCATAGAACCAATAGAAACATAGGAACCTGTGCTCATTTAAATGTTTAAATAAGATACACAGACCCGCCCAGGCTCTATTTTTCAGGGTCTGCTTTCATTCCACTTTACGGAGTCAGCTGCTAGGTTCAGTTCCAGCAGGCCTGATGATGACGAAGGCAAGGCCATGAGTATCACCACGTGAGTATCACCACATCTGCCTTGTGTGGAGGTCTGGCCCGGTTTGAAATACCACTCTCCAGGGCAGATCTTCTTTTAATACTTCAATCTTTCTCCAACCTTCCATCAATACATGATCATATTTGCCCTGTATCTGGTGGTACCCCCTTTTACTGACAAATTTTTGCTGCAATGTAAATATCTGAGTGTTTTCTGTATTTATAAGCTAAGTGTATCATGTTTCAAATAAAAAATACTTTCAGGAGTGTAATTTGGTGA